ACCATCTCCAGAGTCCAAGACAATACCAGTCGTACGACCACTGGCATAAAGGGAAAGAACAGCCTGAATAGCAACATACATCGCAGGAGTGTTGAACGTCTCAAACATGATTTGTGTCATCTTCTCACGGTTAGCCTTTGGGTTGAGAGGTGCTTCAGTGAGGAGAACCGGGTGCTCTTCTGGGGCCACACGGAGCTCATTATAGAAGGTGTGGTGCCAAATCTTCTCCATGTCATCCCAATTGTTCACAATTCCATGCTCAATTGGATATTTCAAAGTTAAGATACCACGCTTAGACTGAGCTTCATCCCCCACATAGGCATCTTTCTGGCCCATACCAACCATCACACCAGTGTGACGAGGCCGCCCTACAATGCTGGGAAAAACAGCCCTTGGAGCATCGTCTCCAGCAAATCCAGCCTGAATTGAAAATTTTACAAGAAGAATCAACACATGAGTTCCAAACTTGTAAGCATAAAAACCAACTGTCATTAAATACACCTTCCTTGAGAAGCAGCTATTGCCAAACATATATAGATAGAATCTAATCTAGATACTAGAATTACAATAAATCACGGTTTGGGTACCTTGACCATTCCTGTCCCATTGTCACAGACGAGAGGTTGAATATCTTCACCATCTGCCATATTCTATTACCTGCTTYTGAGTCACCAAAAGACACCAAATTTAGATTAAAACAATTAAAGAAACATAGAGGCAATGGCACTCATTCCCCATTGTTACACCAGTTTGATTGAATTACCAACAAGTATCGACCCAATTAACCTTTCAAAATCATAAGGAGACCAAGGACCAATCTATAACCCACGGTAATCGGTTCCACTTCTTTGTCCACCAACTTTACTTGATTCCTCTTCATTTAACAATTAATAAACTTATAGTCATTCATTTAGAGGTATTCACCAACATATATGATTTTGTTTTTCAAAACATAACAAGGCAGTTGCTTTTGTTTTGAAAGAGGGAATTTAATCATACATATTGCAAATGCTCCATTAATCAACCGGAAGATGCATTTCTTTTATGTCAGTGACCAATGAAGATCATCCTATACAATTGTGGGCATTGGTCAGCAAACACCCGTATGTATAGGCCAGTGGAGGATGAGATACATCAAGAGTATACAAATTCCAATAATTTATAGCTAACAGCTTTTTGAAGGGTCAATTGATAAGGGAATCCATATATTTTATCTTGTTAATGCAACTTCTTGTCTGGAAATCTAATAAAAATAAAACAGGTTCAATGATTTCAAAACAACACAAGAACTCAGCGTAACAAAGCTGGATGAGAAAGGGAGCCGTGAGAGTTTGAGGAATAGGGCAAAAAGGACCAGATATATTTTATCTTAAACCAAAATGATTTTTCAGCACTAGATACTCAGATAGCCATGGACAGTTTATCTAAGACAAATTCTGATTAAATCCAGGAAATAAAAGTCATAAACACTCTAACATCAGCATTCAACAATGATCGAAGGGATGTCAGACGATGAAGCCTTCCAATTTCAGAAAGATGGATCAACATGAACCGGTTGGAATATGCAAATGCACGAATAAGATTCAAACGGGAAAAGAAATGAAGGAACCAAATTTTATTACTAGCCAATCCCAATGATCAGCCAATGCAGATCCAGAACGGGAACCAATAGGAAACATTTTTTGAAAATTAAGTTTTATGAGCCAATGCAGATCCATAATGAGAACCAATATGAAACCTTTTTGAAAACTACAATGTATTAGCCATTGAAAACCAAAGAAAAAAAAGTCAAAAACAGAACCGAGATCACAAAAACATATGAAAAAAAAAAAACTCTATCTATGCATATTTATATGGATCGATTTCAACAGCTGAATCTCCAAATGATTGATAAACTGAAACCCCAGACGAAGATTGAAATGGACGACAGTGAATAATTACCTCTGAAGCCTCGGATTCTTTGTTCGTCGGGGACTCTAAAACTGAAACTCCCCTCTTCTTCTTCTCTTTCTCTGTTATGGTAAAAACTATTTAAAATTTATAGAAAGGAAATAACCTCAAATTCCTCACTGTCGGATCCCGGCCGTTTGTTTTGGTAAAAGGATCTACGACCCTGATAACGCGTCACAAAGGTGGTGGTGGAAATTGCTGGTTCGGAATTCTGAGATGAGACAGGCTTTTGAACTGGCAGTGGAAACTCTCAGAGTGAATGTTAATGGAGTGAACGGTTGAGAGAGTTGAGGAGTATGTCTGACCGATTCCTTGGTCAACGAATCGATGGGACATAAACACGTGTCCAATTATCCTCCTCTAACATGTCAAGTAAAATCAAATGTGATTTCACGCGGCTGGAAACAAGCTGCTGAATTGGAATTTTCCTTTTTAAGATTTATTTACCTCCCTTTTTTATCCAACCAAAAAAAGAATAAAAAGTAAATAATTACCTCAACCAAAGTGGAAACAGAGGTTCCTAAGTTTAGAAACTTACCCAGGAAACATGCATATCTCAGCGTGCATTAAGATGTCATTGGGAGATATTCTCAATATACGGTGGGATTATCTCATGCATTAAGATCTCGCTTCAAAGCATCCATTCCACCGTCTGGTCTGATTGTAACTGGGTTGATCAAGTCCGGATCACCTGCCAATAAAATATGTTCCAACGCACTACCAATATCATTTCACACACACATCTCACCCATGGCGGGTCCTGAGTCCCAATTTTGTGTCAGATCACGTTGGTAGGGTATTGAACATGTTTTGTTGGCAGTCCCAACTCCGATTAATCGTTATCATGAAAGATTCCAAATGGGATGAGGCGTCTGAATCCGCATCTTCTATGTGTGTTCTGCGGTGCACCTAAATTACAAAAGCGAGTTGGGATCTCCAGAACACCGGGTGGGGAGCCGATCCGAATTCCCTCATAACTAAGGATGCAATTTTGATGGACCAAATCCAGGCTCAAGTTAAATTTACGTTGGGCTTAATTTAAGTCCATGGATGGTTTGAACCCGCCCAATATTATATCAAAACTTGTAACCAATCAACCGGTGCGGTGCAGTGGATATGGTTATAAATCAAAATTCTGCCTGGTGGGGTTGGGGGATTTCACCAAATAAATGGTAGATGTTGTATATAGATTAAATTTAACTGCATTAAAATCAAGACAAATATCCACTTTATCATAATAAAGATTAATTAATAAAAAGAATTATAAGATGAAAAAACTTTGATACTATTTAGTATATATCACGAATAAAAGGAAAATAATAAATTCATTAACTAAATCTATAACTTTAATAAACATATAACATTTAGTCCAACTGTATCGATAGATTGATTCAATGTAAATTTTATATAGATATATCGGATGCCTTTGAAGGTAAATTTTGTATAGATATAAGCACCACGTAGTTAAATATAATCGAATTTGATTTCATGGATAATGTGGATTATATCACATCCAATTATAAATAGATTAAACACAAATCACCTTTAGATGAACCGAATTCTATATGAAATTTGGACAAAAGAATAGCATTGCAGACGAAATATCATTTTGTTCAAATTTGAATTCAAATACGACTCAATCAAAGCAACCCAAATTTGATCCTTTTATTATTAGGTTGAATACAAATCCAAATTAATTATATACGATCATATTTAAACATTTATATTTATGCTTTTGTTTCCTAATGTAACAATGGATATGGATTTATGCTATGGAGAATATATGATGGAAGTTATCTTTATTTAGAGATGATTAAATAGGAAAGTTTAGAAAGAAAAGGAAACATCTCTATATAATGTTCATTGATCTAAAACATATGATAGAATACTTGAAGAGATAATATAGGGAGTCTTCAAAAAGAAAGGGACCTCCAATATGCATTATAGATAATATAAGGTGCAATAATCAATGTTAAACCACATGTGAAAAAGACATCAGGTCTTCTCCAAGGTTTAGCACTGGCCTATATTTATTTGCATGGATCATAAATGAGTTGACTAAGGCCATGTATGGGAGTGCTTAAGTTGAAAATATGTGTTTATTGAATAAGTGCTTAAAAACAAGTACTTATTCAAATAAACACTTATTTTATATTGGGTATTTGGTAAGCATTTGTAACTATTTTGTCATTCATTTTCTTTCAAGTTTTCAAAATATACCATTTGAAAACATTCTTATTAAATTAATTTTATAAAAACGCTTTTATGAAAAAAGTATTTTTTATAAAACACTTATATGAAAGTACTTTTATGAAAGCACTTTTATAAAAGTGCTTTTACGAAAACACTTATAATATATTATATGTTATAATATATAATATATTATATTATAATATTATATAATATTTTATATTATACTATAATATATTATAGTATTATAATATACTATATAGTATACTATAGTATACTATAATATATTATATAGTATATTAATATAATACTATATAGTTTGTTTAGTTCAGACAAAAGGGAATGAAAATTGGAATCAGTAGGAATGGGATTTCATTCCCAAGGGAGGGGTAGGAAATGGCCATTCCCTCAAATGGGGGAATGCCATTCCACCAGGAATGGGAATGGGATTCCGATTCTGCCCAACCAAACAGCTGGAATCAGAACAGCCCATTCCGTTCCCATTCCAGACCCTATTTCCATGTTGCCTTCCAAAAGAATCACATGTCAAATCTTACAATGAATATTGTCTAAAATGCACCTATTGGCTGAATCCCATTTTCAAATTTCACTATGGGAACCAGAAGAATCTCCTCAAGTTGATAAGTTGTGTTCGAACATGTACATATTTACAGCTAAAACTCTTCATCATCCACTGTTGGCCTTGTTACAGGTATTGACCACCTACCCAAATGAGCAGTGTAATTTATGCATCGGATGACGCCCCTTCCGGTGGGTCCATCAGGGAAGTCAATGACACTAATGCTAGCAGCATCAAGAATTCAAGATGAAACGAACCCATCCATTCTTTTGTCAGGTTTAGACAGTGCCCTATCAATGCAATCTGAACTGCAGGATGTCCAACAACTACCACATTTTGTTGTTGCTCTTCTTCTTCGGACAATTCATCTAAAAGTGAATTCCAAGCTTTTTCTGACTGATCCCATAATTCTGACATGATTCTATCTTCAAATCCATTTAACCAACCAGGATGAAGATGTGCAAACTCAGATAGATGCATTCTATGATAAATAACAGAAAAAGAAAGACAAGTTAGACCCCAAAAAATAACTTAAAATACCTGAAGAAAGAGCAGTGCACTAATTAGGCAGCTTAGAGTTAATCAAAATAATTGGAATGAAGATATATCATCCTTTGGTTTGAACACAATAGCAGCACACATGGATTCAAAAAGGTCCAAGAATCAACTTAGAAACCTAAAGAAAGAGAACTACCTAAATTATATATGTAGTGTCCAGTTAATCAAAGTAGTTGGGAATAAAGTTCCATCACCCCTCATTTTGAACATAATATCACAATACATGGATTTAAAAGGCATGCACCAGCACACTAGGTAGCTGCCAAAATCCTTTAATGAGATAGAAAAGATTTGTTGGTAAAAGAAATAACCTCCCATGTAGCTTTCGTCTAATTCTTGCCATCATTTTCTGTATCTTAGGCTCAGTTTGTTTGCATTGCAATTTTCATTTGCAATAGTATAAATGCATGGGAGTGCAAATGGGCAGAGTGGCTTACTTTTGCTTCAGATTTGGCTTTGTTTTGTAACTTATTTTTTTGTGAGAGGTAAAATAGAAAGATAAATGTAGTCCCCTCCCCACCTTATAGGAAGGAGGATAAAATGATAAATGTAGGAGGAGAGTTATTTGTTTGGATGAGGTAGGAAGCAAGATGATGTGGTCCCTACTTTATATGAGAGGGAATTGAGGTAGTAGGGAAGATGGATGCAAATTTAATTTGCATCAATTTTTGAGAAGCAAAAGTTGCACTGCCAATGAATATAATTGAGACAAGAATGTACAAACTTTGTATCAGATAGGAGTGCAATTCATAATTACAAACAAACAAATGCAAAACCGACCAGGTGCAAAATTTATATTCGGTTCAGATTTGTACAACGAACAAACAGGGCCTTAGGTTCCATGCTAAATACTAAAAAAAGCAAAAGAAACCAGGGAAGGATAAGTATTTCTAGCTATTAAGTTATGGTCTTTTACTCTTTTATATGGTATATTTCATTATTATTTTGTCTCTAGACTACCTGAAATCTCCGTCTATACAGTGAAGACTGATGGTGAAGTTATTCCTACTTATATTATTAAAATTCCCTTAATTGCTATTGCTGATAAAGAAGCATGATGTGTGACTACAGAAAGTCATTCTTATCATACTGATCTTTAAGTATAGTCAAATGGATGCAATGCATAGTTCTCATGTAGAGTTGTTTGTTATAAAATTTGACATATTCAGTTTAGATTTAAAAGAGAAATAGAAGAAAAGAGGAAGAGATGACAGAAGAGAACAAAGAAGAAAAGAATGTTGAGAGGGCAAAAAATTATGAGGCGGCAGCCTTTATTTCACTTATAAGGGAGATCTATATTGATATAAAAACGACCAGAATGCCCCTGGGTGTATAACATTAACACCCCAAATAAGAATATAAAACTGGAAATAAAAACAGGGCAATATGGTAAACAATAATAACTCATCTTTCAACAATTTTCTTCTTCAAAAAAAATGTTCTTATTCAAGTATTTTGTGAAGTAGCACTATTATTGATCCTCCCACTTGATTTGAAATCAAGACTTTAACAGTGCTGTATAAAATGCTCTCAACCATTCATAGTTTTTCTCTCCAGGCTACTTTTCCACTTTCTGGAGACAGGCCAATGAACATGCTTGGAGTCATACAGATACAGGTAGGCCATATTTGCCAATTGCATTTAAGAGAATCTTATTAATTTTATTCTCATGGTCTGATTTTCTATGATGCATGTATTACAGTCCCAAAAAGTTGCAGAAGTACTTCTAGATTTGAAAGTGAGCTCAATAATATGCAGTCCTCAGATTGCCTCTATTGAAACAGCAATTGCCATCTCCAAGGTAAAGCTTTTAATGCTATTGATCTTGTGTCATATATCTCCAATTTCCTCAGTGAAGATGTATTTAATTTTGCTCCCAGAGTTCTTTATTTATTCCAACTGGCAGACTTGATTGTAAGTACAAGAAGCTGCAGATTGCTTGGGTGCTGATTGTGTGCCTCGATATGTAGAGATGAAGCATGTGCGAGACTTAGAGGTTGAACACATCCTTCATAAATTAAAGAAGGTAAGGAATCGGAATTTGTTATTCCAAAATTTCATTAGAAAAACACTGATATTTTTCTTTCTATTTAGTTATGTCTGACAAAGAACTAAACGTTAACCTTAGAAATGGAGTGAAAGTGGACATGAGTGAGGCTCAAGTCAAAACATGGTTGACTATGTAAACTGGTGTTTTGATATAAATAATCTGAATGTTGTAGACTGATTATTCAAGTTTTTTATGCATTTTGGTAGGGAAAATGATTCCAAGACCCAATAGATGACAAAATTTTCATCCGAGTCTAACCATACTCATTTTTTAAAATTGGCAAACTTTAATTTTCACTTCCCCTTTTCTTCACCATGTGTCATCTCTCTAGTTATAACTAGATCAGGATGGACTCCAACTTTGTCTTCTTCTTCTTCTTCTTGTTCTTCTTCTTCTCATCTCTTCTGTAACTGTCCCTAATGCGGCAGAAACTTATAATTGAACATTCATACCTCTTGAACAGTCATGGTGATGGTGAAGGAATTTGCCATTGCGCAACAATAATCTCTGTCATTATGGATATCATATACTTCTGTCTCTGTATGTGTGAGATTCATAATATTGTGGTTGCCATAGTCATGGCAGGGGTCATCTTCCCCTACAACTGTACAACAAAATACCTTTTAATATTTATGCTCCAAACCCAAAGCTCTTTTTGATGGAACTTAGTAGGGCTCTTTCATTTTCATAAATTAATTTCAAAACGTAGCCATCCAAATAAGTCATTGCAACCGAACAACTTCAGCATAGTCACAATTTACACTTTAGTAGTTGAAAAGGAGAATCCGAGGGTGAGGTTTGTCTAAGTGAACTTGCTGCTAGTTACTCCAATAACACCCGATCCAAGGCCTTGGTGTTGAGTTTTCCTCTAACAGTAAAACTGCAACTCTTGTTAATACAGTACATACTGTTGGAAATTGCTTCATTAGAGTAATAGTAGCACCTGCTATCTCATTGATCAATACCCCTGTGCTTTCTCAATGAATAGAAACAAATAAACTAAACAACTTCTTTACATCCATTAGACTTGTGGAACTGCAAATTTTGGGTTTCTGCCAATTCTTGCTGCCCGAATGGCTTGTGCATCCACTGTAGTCAATATTTGAGGTATTGACATGCCTCCAGAAATAACAATTTCTGCATTTTATGAAAAAAATCAAAAATCGAAATGATGTTTATGCTGAAAATGGATTTGATCAATGTGCTTTGATCTGTCAGAACACTCACCTATTCCTTCTCGAACAGATAAATTTGGCCTCATAATATCCTTTGAACTGATGAGGAAAATATCTCCAATATAGAGATGGTTGGAGGGTACAAAAACGCAGCAAAGTTCCTCTTCGCCTGAACTCCTCTGTAGAATCACTGTCGATGTGATGAATGCAAATGCATATTCCCCAATACGTGGATGCCTTATGATAGCCACTTCCTTGAATGCGTGAGAGTTCTGATCTGTTAAAAAGCTATATGCTTAAGACTTCAAAATTACAGAAGCTTATAGACGGTTTGTTAATGGCTGAGATGGCTGAACTGAATGACTTATTAGTTGTGTTTTAGTAGATAAATAATTAAATAATAAAATATTTGAGTGTATAGTAATCAAGTTAGTTTTAGTTTCAGCCATTAAAGAACTCACGACCTCCTTAACAACTTATTCACTAAAAGCAATAAGTCATTCAGCCACTTCAGCTGTAATCAAATTGCCCCTTAGCTAGATTACAAAGTTCAAATAAATGGTATTACCTGGTGATATAGCTGCGCTTATTTGTTTTGAGGCAGAATATATGTAGCTTATAAGTGGCATTTTCTTAATGAACCATTCCCCCAAACCAAGAACAGAAGCTCCCAGCCATGAGGACATGAACACACCCACTAAGAAGATGAAAGTGATGGAGGTGACAAAACCAAGACCTGCAAGTTAATATGAGTTCATATAGGCCTCTATCATACCAAGTGATAGATGAATTAATCAGATTCTACTCGAACTTCTTTTATCAATATATTTTAGATGAAAATCCATCATTTAGGTTCCTGGTGCAGCTTGAACTGTGAAGATGCAGAGGCAATGATCAGATAATATTAGTGTCTGTGTAAAGGTGATTATGGATTTGATAGCAATAAGAAATAGAGAGCAGTAATAGAACATAACTAATAAACACAGAAACATGAGAATTGTGTGGTTTGATGAACTGTCTATATTCACAAGTGAAAAGTAGTAAATGCACTAATGACCAAGGGGAGGAGGTTACAATAAGTGAAACAAATCGAAAAGGAGTCAAAGAGAAACCCCCTTCTCCATAAGATAGATGCCCTTCTAATCTTAAGAAATTCCTTATCAAAATCTCCAAATCTAGATCTGTCTCACAAAGGTAATCTAAATATAAAAGCCAAAAGTGGTTCTCAAAAGTTACCTTTGTATATATAGTGCTGTCAATAGGTGGGTTGGGTCAAGGTAGGCTCAGTCCTGAACCAATTTAACTGTGCAGAACAAGTCCCCAACTAGACCCTATAGGATTTATGATAACAGATCCAGAACTAGCCCAATTATTGATTGGAACTATCATCATAATTCACAGCTATAGTTTTAACTAGTAATTTGACAATAAACTACTCATTTGTTAAATTGACACATTTGGACAATAATACGTTTGCAACAACCAAAACCAATCCCAATCCAATTATAATTGGGTCAATTTGGTTATGTTCTGTTGGGTTTACCCAACCCATGGACAGCTGTAGTAGTATATACCTTCCACCCTCTTTCTGTAAATGATAATAATCTAGACTCTCTAATACAATGGTTTATAAGAAACCTGCAAAAACAAAACTACCTAAAGCTAAGGTAGAGCTGTCAATGGGGTTCGAAAGTCTGAAACCCAACTAGACCTATTCATGGGCCGGGTAGTCTGAAACCCAACTAGACTTGTTCATGACCCGTTCTAAGTCGGGCTTGGACATGATTTTAGGCCCACGAGCTCAGGCTTGGACTTAAAACACCAGGCCCAACCTCTTTTCGGGCCAGGCTTGGGCTTTCTCAAAAAAGCCCGGCCCGAGTCCGATTTGATAATATATATTATAATTAAAAACATATTTTATTTAATAATATATATATATATATATGTGTGTGTGTGTGTGCAATATTTTTTCTTTGCTCCTCTTCTCTTTTTTAAGTATTAGTGAGATCTTTTATTATTTTTTGGTTTTGAGGGATTTTAATATAAATAAAACACTTTTTTATTGAACAAAAAAAGAAAAAAATTTATTTTCAAATTTCTGGCCAAGCTCGGGCTCGGGCCTAAATGTATTCTGTTGATACAGAAACAAAGCCCGGCCTGGCCCGTGAACAAGTCTAAACCCAACCTAACATCCAATTATTTCGGATTCAGAAGATCTTTCTATGTAATTGGATCTGATTCTGATTTTAGAACCTTCATCAGTTTAATAATTAGATTGGATATGGACTAAATCCCATTCGACCCAATTAAGATCCATGCCCAATTAAATATTATGTATAACAATTACAAGAAAGTTAAGAGTTAATAAGTTCATATTTCATATATAAATATATAAGTTAAAAAGTAATTAACTTTTCTTCTTTCATCTCTTTTAGTTTTTCTAAAAACAAGAAAGTGGAATTGGATTAACCGCTAAGGCGAGGCTAAGCAACAGGGGAGCACCTTGTCACCCAGCTGCCTAGGTGTCGCCTAGGTGATGGATTTTTTAAGTAAAAAACATATATCCTATGGTAATTCCCTAGGTTCCATAACCATATTTCCTTAATAATTATCCATAATTTTCATAAGAGAAGTATAGACCTCATATTAAAGTATAGAAAATCAACATATTCATGAGAAGAAATAAGAAGTAAGAAGAACACTCAAAAAATATAGGGGCTGAGCCCCTATTTTTGTTATGGGAAAAGAAGAAAAGAAAAGTTTGAAGAAGAAGAAGAAAATGTCTTGATTAGGTAAAATTTTAAGTTCTTCCTTACTTATTGGTTTAGGTTTGAAGTCATTGAGGGTTCAATATAACATTTAGCAATGTCTGTGTTGATTAAACCCTAACAAATAAGAAAACAACAAAAAAATAGTATATAAACACACAAAATGAATATTTTAGTTTAATAATGTCTATTTTATAATTATAATATCAAAAAAATTACGAATATATAAGTTATTTTATAATACAATGTACAAAACTGATTGGCAATTAGGCAAGGGAAGCCTCCAAGGGCACCTTGTTGCCTAGATTCGATGACCAGATTCGGATTTAAATTTTCAACAATTGGATGGGATTTAATTGCGGATGGATCTGATCCAAATACAACCCAAATAAACCTTTACCTAAAAGTAATATTTTTTTTCTTTGCCTGCTTATTCAAGTCATATCAAAACAATTAGCTTCAATACCTTCTACATTTTCCTATTTAATGAGGCAATTTCTTTTTGATTCATACATGCATGATAAAATTATAATTAGTTATGCATGAATTGGAATAGATTATTATTTCTACCATAAAGAAACAAGTAATATGCAATACTGATTCATGAAATGAAGTCATAACCCTATTATGGTGGAAACACAACCTTTTTATTATTTCCACATCCAATAACTAACACTCAGATGGCAATCTTACTTACTATTGCCATGAAAGAAATTATCCCATTAGCATTGTACTCAAACCTCCTTCAAATCAAATGCTTTTATAGCTTTGGTTATGGAGGCTAAGAAACAAAAGCAATCTTATGGGATTCAAGTGTCTAGAACTTAATAACAAAATTTAGAAGTAAAACATTCAGCAACATACAAGTAAAACCCCTTCATAAAGAAGCTTAGGAAGTAGCCCTCTGTGTTTTATTGAAGTGCAGAAGGTTCCAAGTGACAACCTCTTCTTTTAGAAGATAGTATCCTGGATTTCTCTCTTACTTATATCTGAACATTTAGCCTGCAACCTTAGGTTCAATCAGAAGCGTTTTTGAACATCCAGTTAATTAGTAGTGATGCCTTGTGTAACACATGATAGACCAAAAATATCAAAAAAAAAAAAAAATCATAGACAACTAATAGTTGGATTGGTCATTCAACACTTTCCTAGGTTTGGGTTTATCTTTGTTTTCTCCAGCTTTCTTATTATTATATAATGGTCAAGAATCCTAGATAATGTTTTATGGTTTTTTAAAATGGTGTGCATTTAGACACTGCATTTTTGTATCCTTGATTTTTCCATTACTTTTTTAATCTGTAACAGTTTTTACCAGATTGTATGTAAAATAGATTTCTTTTGCAAGAATCAATAGATTCTGTACATCTGAAAGCCGGATTAAGAATCAATTTTGTTAAAAAATGATCTACTAAAAGTAGAAGGGTGGAACATAGTTACCAAATACATCAATCCCCAGATGGACATAGATTGGGGAGAAAAATCCGTCCACAAAATGAATGAACCACCAAGTGATGTAGAATGTGATGGCTAGAGGAAGAAGTATGACACTACAAAGCAATGGCAAATGTGTTATAGAAGGTTACAAATGTTTATACTATTTTTTTATTACATGCTTAATCATAGAATTCTTAAGGCTATAAAAATGCATGCATATGCATCAGGAATGCCAACTATATACAACAATGCATGAACATTGAACTTAACATTCTGGTTGAAAGAAGAAAACAAATGATAGTTTCTTTTGAGGTGAAACTTATAAAGACAAAAAATGGTTAACTCTGAAATAGGGAAAAACATAAATGATCAGGGTACAGAAAACTTACCATCCAGACATAAACTTTTTGGAAGCCCAGCTACGAATGACTTTAGAAAATGCCTAAAGAGGTAAAAGAAAATAGCTATTCAGTCAGATTTGTTGAGACAATTATGAGTTCAAGAACTTCTCTGATAATTTAGGTTCCATGAACATCCAGTAACAACAAAATCACACATGCACACAGACAAAGGAGAGAGATGGATAAATTTCAGCAATTGATATTGATATATCTTCAATGAGATTAGTTCCTTTTGGAGGTGGGGTCAGTCATGCTTTAGCAAGGGAGATGTGAGTTCTTTGAACGTCCAAGGACTCCACCATGCTCACACCATTTCACCACATTGAAGCATGTGTTGGAAATCCATTATTGCCAATTAGGCTCGAGGGTTTCATGCACTTTGTTATTTTAGTGGGGTTCAGTGCAACCTTTTAAATTTACTCTTTTCAAGGCACATCTTTATTTTGCCACTCAACTCTCAATATGAACATGTCATTGTCGTTTTCAAGGAAACAAGAAGGAAAAAAAAAAATGAAAACGTTTATTATTTTAAGCAATTTTCATGACGGAATTACAATCTTGATATCATTTATTTCAATTATTCAATCAACCAAGAAGAAATACAAGTTTCCAACATTTGAAAGTAGATCGACCGACTTAGTAGAACCCGAAAAAAAGACTTCATAATGCAATTAGCATCGCAAGGAAAAGGCAAACAAAATCCAGTAATCCACAAACACAACACCACTATCAGTTTGTTTCCATCTTTCGGCACAATCAAAATTGGATGAATATAAAACACTGGCATTGCTGGAGCCAGAGATCTCTCAAAACAACAACACAGATCGATTGACGAAAACATTATGAAAAAGGCAGAGAAACAGGGGATTACGTAATTGGACATCTCCTCAAAGCAGAAAAGAAAACTAAGAATAAGACAGGAGAAATGGAAAAACCTCTCTGGTATGGAGGTGGTGGTGGTGGGAGGAAGAGGTGGCAGGGGAGGGCGAAGGCGACGATAAGTTGGAGCCACCACCATCTTCTGCACCGTTTCCTGCTGCCACGGGAATCAGAAGTTCTCGATCTCTCTCCCTTTCTCTCGTTGCCATTCTCCTAATTATTCCTTGTAATGTTCAAATGTTCTCTTTGTCTTTGTTTTTTTCTTCTTCCTCTCTGACTCTGAGGAGTCGGGAAGTAACAAACTCGTACAGTGGGGGACACTGGGACCGTGGGACGTGTAAGTTATAACCGAAATCAATGGATCTACTATTCATTATTCATGCATGTAGCCCTAAACGCCAACTGATCACTTGGGTAAGCTCTCTGCCTGCCTTTGGTTGTAGCGGAGACTTGGTTTAAATTCTGCTGTCACTGCTAATGGCTTATGGGTATATTATAATATAATATATAATATATTAGAATATATAGTATATTATAATATATAGTACATATTAATATTTAGGGTAAAATATAAAAATTTTCCCTGAAGTTTCTGACAATCATAAGAACCTCCCTTATAGTTTTATTTTAACAAAAATCTTTCTTCTATTTTTGAAAAATTCAACAAATACCTCCCTTCAGTCAATAATCAAGATGGAAAATGTTAAAGAGATGATCATTTTTTTCAAAATACCTATTTTATCCTTTTACAAATATTGTTTTTTCTCCTATACCCTTTTACAAATTTCAGATGGTGGAGCATCTTTCAAAAAATTTCTAGATTTCCGGTGTATGTGAAGCTCCTCATTGGGTTACCCCACTAGGACTCCACGCATTTACTCCAGCAACATTGCATGACAACAAACGAATCGATGTTGCGACTCGGTGGCGAGAGAATAACTTTAGGCACATCGAAATCTTTGATCTAGAGCTAGAGTTGTTTTGTAGGGTAACAGAGACTGTAAACCCAAAATTTCACCACTACAATCCTTTTTTCTCCCTGAAATCAGGTTTTCTCGGATACCACTGATTTCGAGGTGAGTTGGCCTCAGGGGACTCAGTCGTTCTGCATCTTGAACCTGTAACTTCTCCGATGACGGAGCTGAGAATGCTCCGACTTAACGGATCATCCCTTCGTGTTCTCCCGACAGTGACCTGATCACGTTCAACCACAACTCAATCGTTTGCATCTCGAACCTGTAACAATGCATTTTCGTCGTGTTCACCTGATGGCAAGTTTGTAGCGTTCAGGTCTAGGAGATCTGTCCAACTAGTCGACGAATGGGAAACTGATAGACTTCTCGTCCAACCAACACAATCCCAGCAACGTGGAGGCCGTCAGCATATACCTTATCCGTCCGGGGCGGAGGGATCAACAAAGGCAGACAAGGAGATCAGGATCAATCTCATCCAATAACATCTTCATCAACATGTGAATAGCTCCATCTCAATTGTTGTTGCATCTCAGTTGAAGAGCATCCTACCCGTTCTAATATTCTTTCACCAATATTTCTAATTCCATAATTTTCTCGACTACTAGAGATATTAACAATCTTCCGTTGGATTTTTTCAACTTTCTTTCCAAAGTTGTGGAGATCTACACCTTCCTATACGATGAAAAGACACCTTTTCACAAAGCTCTTATGCTGTGCTATTTTTACTGCTTGGATATAGTCAAGGACGGTTGTCTCCACCTCGAGAGCAGCCTTTCGAATTTTTGAAATCCAGTTATGGATCCATTGGTCTTCTTCTTGATTTGTATTTGCATCTTTTAAGAAGCATTGCATCCTCCTCAGTTCAGTTTGAAGCCCTTCAACTTGGTCTTTCATTTCGAACAACAAAGTTGCTTCTTGGATGAGTAAATTGCCCAGCTTAGTAAATTACAGAGTCGGCCATCTAATATTCCACTTCCTTTCTCTCGTCCCTTCTCATTGTCTCAGAACAAGACAATTATGTCTATTTATAGTGCAAATTAATTCTTTCTTTCTACTCGTCAATATGAATGCTGAATCATGTGATCTCTCTCTCTCTCTCATTCTTCAAAGTTGTCGGTATCAACGAAGATTGCCTTGCAAGTTCTCACTAGTTGGGCGATGTATCGGTGGAGCCGGTGTCCATGCCGAATCAATTTCAGCCACGTGGTGAGATTGGATGGAAGTGGGTTGAAGAGGCTGACGTGGAATGGGTATGAGGATGGAACCCCAACCTAGAATCGACGAGGGGGGAGATGGATGTGGGTCGGTTGCCGGTGGAGACCATGGTGGGAGATAGGCTCATGGGTCAATTTGATGAACTGCTTTGGATTTCTTGCGATATGTGAGAGATAATAGATTCTATAAAGGTCAAGGCTTCGTTTATGACATCTTTCCGAAGAAGGGGAAGCCTGTGAGCGTAGCCTCCCACAATCTTCACGCCTTGGCTTGCAGGACAAGATGACAACGAAGGAGATTGCGACTTAGCTTGCCATCATCAACCAAGAAGAGGCGTTTTCTAGGAAGCTCCACCCTGACAGCTGCCCTCCTATGTCATCAACAGCGGGGAGTGGATCTTTCGCCATTAGCAACAACAACGAGTATGATGTTGAAGGGGTTGAGAATGATTCAAATGTTTGAAGTACAGGAGTGCAAGCCTCACAAAGTGAATCTGTTCAATCTGGGGATGGGGTCATCCAAGGACAGACTTAGGATTCCTTTGTCATTTTGCGTCGTGAAGAAGAAGATGAACATTGTTCAAGGGATTATGGAGTTGTTGACACAAGGCTATTTTAGTAAAAACAGATATACATTAATTGTAAAAAGGTAAAATAAGTATTTTGGAAAAAATATAATCTCTTTAATCATTTTCCGTCTTGGTTATTGACAGGAAGGAGGTATTTGTTGAATATTTCAAAAATAAAGGGGAGGTTTTTGCTAAAGTAAAATTATAAGGGAGGTTTTTATGATTGTCAGAAACATCAGGGGAGGTTTTTGTATTTTACCCTAATATATATACCATAAGGATCCAAATTCAATGTGCAAATTGGTGATGATGATGAAAAGTGATGGTTAACAGTTGACACCCCATCAGTTCACAACTACACAAAGGTTAAATAATATCTATATCTATACTACTTTAAAAAGCACGAATGTTCTCAATTCAAGAATATTTCCACAATTTTTTTGAGGACAAAATTTATTCTTCTATATTTAAATTTATTGAAAAAAACGAGGTCAAATAGGATAACCGATTATTGATATTAAATGAGTTGAAAAGAAGTAATTTTAGGATATTCGATGCATTCAATCCTCTCATTAAATCCAACATTTAAGTTATTAACTTGCATTCATGTTCATTGAATCATATATTTAAGTCATTTTTGTTTTTCTCATCATTAAGTTTAATTAATTAAATCTATATTTAATAAATTAATAATTCCAATAATATAAAAACTTATGCTTTTAAAATCAACCTAGAAAAAATAGTGATTTCACCTAGGTAGTGGTAAGAAATTAAACCATTTGGACCAAATGAGTCAATCCATGTTGCCATGATTAAATAATAAAATGAAAATAAATAAAAATTAAAAAGTGGAACATATTTAACATCCATATTAAACAATAATAAGTATCATAAATAAAAAATATTTTTATTAATGATGAAAATGGGAGGCCAAATTTAAAACCTACCTAGAAATGAAATGATGTCATAATCAAATAATAAAATTTTTAAAAATAGAAAATACAAAGAATCACAAAAATAAAAAAGATAGAGAAAATTTTGAGCATATATCCAATGTTATACATTTATAAAAAAGTAAAATATTGGGTACATCTTTAATATTATGCATACATTGTATTGAACAAAAATAAGTATTATACATAAGAAATAATTTTATCAATGATGGAAAATGATGGTGTGCGACCTAGATGCTCCTAGCTGGAGGGCAGCTCGGACGCCTGTTGCTGACTAGACGAATGAACTACAAAGAGAGTAAATCAGAGAACCCAGGGTGGCTAAATCAGTGAGGTCGCTCTGATGCTTAAGTCAGTATCTAATATGTAGCAAGCTGAAAGTATGTATGCTAGTAGGCTAGTAAGCAAATAATCACGCGTACCTACCTCTGTGTCACTGGGGTTGGTGCCTTTATATAAGCATTGTTTGGTGTGGGCTTCACGCACCGCATCCGAGATTTCTGGGAGGTCGTGCCTAATTGGTCTGAAATCCTTAGAGATAACTGCCACACACATTGACCATCCTTCAGAACACTCGATATGTGGCCAACTTCTAAGAAACTTGGGAGTGTCAGGATATGCATGCCGAATTGGTCGGCGAGCACAACTCGCATGTTGCTACCTAGACCTCAGTCAAGCCGGCAAGCCTTCGAGGGAAGTCGTTCCTTGCGTTGAGGCCACTTCGGCCAGTGACGAGGTTCTACAGGTCAGCCCTGAACGAGGTGCTCCTAACCGACCTAAGTTGTGGTCGAAGTTGCTAGGTCGGAGCGCAGACGAACCGCGATCTGGGACTCCAAATCATTGCTTAGGTGGTGTCTATGTGTCATCCAACAGCTCTAAGATGCCATGTCTCACGATGTCATTGGAGGGCCAAATCCACCCTCTTCAATTGTCCCCCACTCCCGAGATGAGGGCAGCTCGGCGAAGAGAGTATGTTGTTCCTTTGGCTCGGAATGACTGTTTGATAAGCTTGTGGTTATTGGCATCAATCCAATTTGCTCCTCAGATCAGAAGAATCCAAGTGTTTGCAGCCTTATGCAGGACCTCACTGTCTTGATTTTCGGGGCAAGTGAGTGAACTCATCCGTTCGAGGAGAGGTGAAGCAGGTACCCCAAGGACATCTACCTAATTAGGGATGTGACCATCAAGGGGTTCTGCAATCCGACCTATTACCTCAAGAGCGGAGCTCATCATGTCGTCCTTAGAAAGGGGTTCTGTGTGACTACTTCATCAGGTCACTCTACCTACGTAGACTCCGACACAGTGTCACTCAAACTAGTTCTCAAAGAGTAGCCAGCAAGTTCGACGCAGAGCCTCAAATCGAGGTGAAGAGATCAACCAAGTTTGCATCCACCATGATGCTGAAAGCAAACTAGCCTTTCCCTTGTTCTCTTTTTCGTGCTGAATGCGAACTGCTTTTTATTTCTCCCATACTACAGAAGTGACTATGTTGACCATGCCAAGGGTCTTATGTGGTTTCGAGGTCCTTTATCAACTTAGCACCTTAACCCTTAGGCTCTGTGAGCGACTCGTGGTCCACTCTCCTTATCCTTGATCTTGCCCATGCCGAAGAGATGACTGGGTCTCATGTGGTTCCAAG